ACCTAGTGAAGTGAAAACAAGTCAAATGGAAACCAAAAAAGTTACCACTGTGAAAAAGCAGCATAATTCTCACAAAATTGATTAATTTTAAATTTAAAGAAATATATTCATTAAAGACAGTGCTGAGGATAAGAAAGAAATTAATTTTGAGTGTAAGTGTTTATGGGGATTTACAGCACATGATGGATGTAACACCCTCCTCCTGGTGGAGGGCTATTGTCGCATAATGATTACATCATGCAGTTCATGTTATAACAAGTATCTTAGGGGAAGAGATAGCTCAAGGCTCATAGTATTCACAAAATCTCAAAGGCAGACACACAAGGGTTAGCTACTGTGTGCAGAGAGGTAAGTCTCTTGTTTCAGAAGTGACCATCAAATGGTCAAGTTATTGGCTACTTCTTTGCCCTAACATTAGCATCACATAGTTAAGTTGTTAGCTATAGTTTCTCTCTAATATTAGCACTACATTGATCACTAAGTCACCAGATATTATTCTCCTTAATATTAGCACCACATGATTAAGTTATTAGATACTATTTTTCCCTAACATTAGCACCACATGGTTAAGTTACCAGCTCTTTTTCTCCCTAAACATTAGCTCAACATAATTAAGTTATCAGACACTGTATTCCCTTAACATTAGTTCAGAATGGTTAAGTTATCAGCTTTTGTGTTTCCCCTAATGTTAGCATGATTAAGTTGTTAGCCATTGTTTCCCCTAATATTAGCTATTATTCCTCCTAACATTAGCACCACACAGGCAAGTTATTAACTATTGTTTCTCCAAAGAGTAGCACTACATGATTAAGTTATCAGCTTTTGTTTCCACCTAATGTTAGGACATCACTCTTAGTTATAATTTTTTTGCACAAATTTACAATGGTGTCTAACTTTTCTCTCATTTGAAAAGACAATTAACCATTTTTCAGTTATACATGACTGAAAATAACTTATATATCGTAATCTATTAGCCACTTAACTTAACTCTTAAACTCATTTTTGCTGATTTTGAATATAAAAAAATCTATTTTTCTGAGAATAGTGGTCATTGTTGTTAATAACTTCCATCTATCCAACATACATCTGTTCTTTGCCTGGCTTAACCATTTCTTCAATTTGAGTACCTTGTGTACTAAATAAAAAAATTAAGTGGGTGGTAACATTTTGAAATGATTTAAAACTGAAGTCACATTATCCATGCCTGCTCGTAATATGATTAGTTCATAAAAAGGTTTGATGATTACAGTCACTCCTTTGACACATAGAGCAAATTTATGCTGCCAGTAAGTAGTTTTACACATAATAACTCTTGTTTATGTTATTCCCCTTTCCATTCAATCAATTATTTGCAAATTCATTGAATTTCAAATTTTGAGCTTCTTCTTCTGTATACTTTTAAATTACAGTTTTAAAAAGTTTTAAGTTATGTATTGGAAATTAAGACTGAACATAGTGTAGTATCATGAATACTAAATTTCATAAGCTATAAGTCTACTTACAGGCTTTCTACACTCTGAACAGAAGATAACCTTGCAATCAGGACACATCAATTTCCTCTGGTTTTGGCTGAAGGCAATAAAACCAGATGAGCACTATAAAACAATAAGTAATTTATTATTAGTATTAAGTTATGTGCAAATATAAAAAACTAATTTATAATATAACATTAAAGGACAACAAGTAAACTTTTGGTCCACCTAGGCTATCCTATCCATTAAATAAAACTAAACAATAAAACAGTCAAAGCCAGCCCTTATAATTCAAATATTGATCAAGCTTTCCCTTAAACTCCTTTAAATTATTTAATTGCATCTACTACATCTGAAGGCAACCCATTCCAAAAACACTATTATTCATTCCTTTAACAATCTTAAACACTTCAATCAGAACCCCTGTAACTCTTTTTTTTTCCAGAGAAAACATGTTAAGAGATCTTAAACTACACTTGTATAAAAATCTTTCCATTCCAGGTATCATCCTTGTAGCCTCCCTCTTAACCCTTTCCAACAATTCAATGTCCTTTCTAAGGTAATGAGCTCATGAATGAAGTACTCCAAATGTGGCCTAACTAATAACCTATAAATAGACCTTTTAACCACTTTAGACTTATATTCAATATTTCTGAATATTTTTTAATATATAAATTGGCAAGTCACATGACAACCACATGAAAAGCTTAATTTAAAACTAGGTTTTATATAAAGTACACACAAGACAAATGTTAAAACTCAGATTACTAGGACACAAATAAAATAAAAACAGAAAAGTCAGAGTTGAATGTGAAGATTCTGATTTAGTATAAACTTTGGTTTGTTTCATACAAGTTTCATGGCCATCCTTGAAGGACTGATTTGAAAAATAAAAAACAATCAAATTTGATTACTTAACATTCAAGGTTCTTTGATAAATAAAATTTAATTTTGGAAAATGTTCTTCTTTTGATAAGCATATTACTAAATAATTTTGTAATGATTATGAAATTCATTGTTCCAATCACATTTACTTCAACTTAGTTGTTAAGCTTTACAAAAGCTAGAGCAAGTCACACTATTGGTGAGTGAGTTGGATGCCTACTAATGAGATTATATTTTCACACCTAAACTTATAACAATATTAGATTTATGTTTATAACTAAAATAATTGCTGTTAATTGTTGATAAATCTGTGAAGTTTTTCTTTGAAGCACATCAAACTGCAGCAAAAAAATGTCATACCATGATTCTAATCCTTTGGTTCAGTTACAAATAATGATATGGTTAACACAAAGTCTGATCCCCCCCCCCCCACAACAATAGTGATAGTATGTGGAAAACATATTGACATTACTTATGTCTACTTCATCAAAAGCATTTGTTAAATAAATCGTCCATTTTCTGGTTACACTCATTTATGTATCCCCCCCCCCCCAAAAAAAAATTATAATATAGTTAACTAATGCATTACCTGTGAACACCAGTGAAAATTGGGATTTTGCATTAAAACCTGATCTCGCAATTTTCGTTGAAATAATTCATGTACTTCTGGATCAAGTATGTTTCTAAGCTATAAAAAAAACAATGAAAGTTAATAACTAATGCAAAAAATAGATAACAAATATCAAAGTTATGATAGTAATCAAGAATATCACTCAACAGAACAAGACTGGTTTAACATTTAAAAAATCATTCAAGAATATCACTCATAATGAAACAAGACTGGTGTCATTGTTTAGAGAATCATTCAATAATATCATTTATAAGGAAACAAGACTGGTGTCAATGTTTAGAGAATAATTTGAGAATACCACTCATAATGAATCAAAACTGGTGTTAATGTTTACAGAATCTTTCACAATGTGACTAGGCTTTTTTGAAGCAAGTTAAGAGAGGAATGGCACTTATAAAGATTATTTTATTCATTACTCAATATAATTTATAATATTGGAAGAGCAATGTTTTATTAAATATAACTAAACAAGAAGTAATGTCTGGATAACATTGAATAAGAATATAGTAAGTTATTACACAGCTAAAAGGAATGTTGAGAAATTAACTTTATAAGAAAAGCAACCAGATAGCATTAAGATGTTAAATGTTAACAAGTATTTATTAAGAAGCTAAACTTTCAGTCAGGAATTCTTGTAGCTAGCCATAATAGTTAGTGGTTTGTCTTATCTCAGCAATAAGACATTACCTAATTTGGCAAACTGCCAGGATATTTACAATAAGTAAGGGATGACATTGAAAAGTATTTAAGAAATAGCATAGCATATAGTGAGAGGAGTTTGTTAGTCAGGAAATCACTAGACACTTAAAAGAAACTAGAAGTTTTGGGGTAGAATGTTAATGCCAGTGATGCATGTGAAATTCAAGGGTTGTTTGAGACTGAATTATCCTAGGATACTTTAGCTGTTATGCCCAGGAATATACAGAGAATTCCTGTATGAATAGTAAAAAAGTGGCCCTAAAGAGATCATCACCCAGTCTTTTCAAGAATCTACAACCAACTTTGCATTGAGTTCAACTAGAGAGTCTGCACCCAATTATGTTCCTACTCAATTCCTATTTAAGTAATGTAGCTTATCATTAATTATCTAGAAATGTAAGAGTTGATAAATATGGAAATGCATATTGAAGCAAAGGTTAACCTAATAAGACTTACTGATAAAAAACTTGAGTTAGTTGTAAGAGTTTTGGAAGAGATCTTGTAAAGCAATTTATTTCATTTGTAGTTACTCTTGTTGTATTTTGTGATGATTATAATAAAACCACATGTTTTGTTCTGTTTGAGACCTCTCTCTGAATCCTTACTTCTTATATAAATCCCTCATGTTGATGATCTGTGTGCACATGACTGCATATCCTCATATTTGAACAAATACTATTTATAATGTGTGTTGTCTTTTTCATTTGCCCTACTTGTTACAGTTAACAGTGCTCAGTGAATTATACATAATAAAACAATATTTATAACACTGTTTAGAGAATTATTCATAATGAAACAAAAATTGTGACACTTTCCAAAATCATTCACAATGTGAGAAGACTTTTGGCACCATTTAGAAAATCATTCACAATAAAATATGACTATATCAATCATAAAATAAAACTAGTGACAGAGTCTAGAGAATCATTCACAATAAAATAGGACTAATGACAATATTTAGAGAATAATCCATAATAAAGTATGACTAGTGATCGGGTGTTAGAGAATAATTCATAATAAAATAAGACTAGTGACAATGTTTAGAGAATCTTTTACAATAAAATATGACTAGTAAAAGTGTTTAGAGAATCGTTCACAATAAAATAAGATTAGTGACAGTGTTTAGAGTATCATTCACAAAATATGACTAGTGAAAGCACTTAGAGAGTCATTCATAATAAAATAAGGGTCTAGTGACAACATTTAGAGTATCATTAATAATAAAATAACATTAGTGACAACATTTAGGTCTTCATTCATAATAAAATAAGATTAATATGTTTAGAGAATCATTCATAATAAAATATGACAAGTTATAGCATTTAGAGAATAATCTATAATAATAATAGAGCATATCTGTTTGTCTGTGTGTGTATGACTACCATAGATCCAATAGGAAAGAATCTAGAAACCTGAAATGTTGCAACCATACTAAGTGGGCCCTGAGGGTGTGCACCTGGGTATTATTACTTATTTTATCCATGTGCATGCATGCATGCACATCTTTTTATTGAGGCAAGCTAGCGAAAAACCACATGAAAAAAAAGAAGCGATTCCTTATATAATAACTTCTAATATATAGAAAAGCCAGTGCATTTTGGGAACAATGCATTCCAACAATGTCATGTCGCTTAACAACAAAAGTATAACCTAAGATTATTGTTAGTCTATGTACTGAAAGTATAAAATGAAATGTATAAACTACAAAACTAGAAAAATATTTGTTGATTTCTTAATTTAGAGTTTCTGTTGATTAAAAATGTTAGTGATATAACAGAAAATACCTTAATTCAGAAATTATTTACGTTAAAAATCAAGCATGATGTGACATGACCCACACTGGGTTTTATATAGGTTAGATAACATGACATATAGTGACATCTACAATTATCTATAATCTATAATCTATCTATAATCATAGTCATCTAGAATATATCAACCTAATAACATGAGGGAAGCCAGGTACTTTCATTAGTTCATAATAAAGTAAGACTAGTGACAATGCTTAGGGAATCAATCACAATAACATAAGACTAATGACAGTATTTAGAGAATCATTCACAATAAAATAGGACTAGAGACAGTGTCTAGAGAATCATTCACAATAAAACAAGACTAGTGAAAGCATTTAGGAAATCATTTAAAATGAGACAAAACTGATGACACTGTTCAGGATATCAGTTATAATGAAACAAGACAGGTGACAGTGTTTATAGAACTATTAGTAATGAGACAAAACTGATGACACTGTTCAGAATATCAGTCATAATGAAACAAGACAGGTGACAGTGTTTATAGAACCATTAGTAATGAGACAAAACTGATGTCCTGTTTAGCAAATCAATCATAATGAAACAAGCCTGGTGGCTGTGTTAAGAAAATCATTCATAATGAGACTATTGATATTGTTTAAAAATCATTCACAATGTGACAAGTCTGATGTCAAGATTGAGAGAATCAGTTAAAATAAAACAAGACCGGTAACGAGGTTTAGAAAATCATTCATAATGAAAATTAAAACTATATAAAGAATCATTCATAATGAAATGAGAATGTTAAATCTGTTTATAGAATCATTCAGGATAAAACAAACCTGGTTACAGTACTTAGAGCATCGTTCATAAAGAGACAAGACTAGTGACCATGTTCAGGTTATGTAGTACCCTTGAGGGGAAAAATGCAGTAAATACCTTGACATTACATAGTCACTGAAGAAATTAATATATTGACTGTCAGTCTTTAGTTAAATGCTCCCTTAGTTTTGACACTGCTATATGTGATATTTCTTTTCATTTCCCTTTTAGATATGTGACATCTATTATGGATAGTCAGAGCTGTATTTTTAAATATATTTTAAAACAGTTTCAACAATGAATTATTATTAAATAAAATTAAACTAAGTTACCTGTATAAGCAAGATATAAAATGTAGTACAAAAAATGTAAATATATGAGAGATTCCAAATTGTGGAAGTAGGTAATTTTTAATGGGTATAGTAGTAATTTATTGTACATTCACAGGAGAAATACTTATGAATAACAAAGTTTTTAGTGGTCCCATTAACATAGTACTGACACTGGCATCTGTGTTCAAGCATTTCACGATGACACAGGAATTATGGCAGTGATTAAAGTATTGATCACAATGAGACAAAGCTTGGGTCAGTGACCAAGGCTTCAATCACAATGAAACCAGCTGGTGACAGACATGAAAACTTCTGTCAGAATAAAGAAAAAATTTATGGCTAATTTTAGAATTCAATGTAGAATAAATTGGTGACAGTTGTAATGAGAGAAAGTGGGAAAATCATTACAGTAAGTTCAGTATCAAACAGAATTAAACTACTGTGTTGATTATAACAATTAGTACAGTCGACATTGGTAATATATAAAATTTACATTAGAAATTATACATAATTGGATACATTAACAACAAAAAAAGTAAAAGTTAGAGGTAGAATTCCACTTATTATTAGTTTTCAGTCCTGTAAAATCTTAAAGACAATTGTTTACTATTTAACATAACTATATAACAAAATGTGAAACATTATTGCATAAACAATATGAAATAAAAAGTATATACATACTAAGATATCCATATGATTATAATAGTCTTGTGCAATATCTTTGTCAAACAAGTCAGGTTCATCACAAAATGGACACTTCAGTTCAATAATGTTCTGATCTTTGATCTTTACAGTAAAATAGGTCTTCAGGCAGTTCCTACATGCCTGATGAGAGCAATGAATCATTGACACCATCTGCAACAAATACAATATCCTTCAAATCATGTACAAGCAGTTAAAAAATACATACCTAAATCATATAAGTGACTATTTGTATCCTGTCTATTTTTGTGATTGTAGCTATCCCCAAATATTTTGATTAGATCTTGTAATCATGATTACAATAAGTTAAAAATACCAATGTACCCTGACCATCGCTGTGCTTGTAACTGTGATAGCTTTAAGGTAACCTGTGTATCTTTCCCATTATTATAGTTATACTTATAATAAATTAAAATCCTTGAATACTTTGTCAAGTGTTATGTAATTACTGTATGATTAACATAAACTAAATCTTTCAAAGTGTAATTAATAGGTTAAAGCTGTATTCTTACCTCTGCTGCTGCATATGTGTTGCTACACAAATCACAATCCTGTTGTAAATAAGTTATTGCTTGTTCTATAGAGTCACATATTTTAGCTGCTTCTAGTGCTTTCTCTTCTTCAAACTGCATTTCTAGTAGTTTTACAGCTATTTCAGCTTGTTGTCGGGTTCTGCATCTTCCTTTAGCAATATAATTCTCAAGGATCTGGAATAACATAATGCAATAAGTACACAAAAAATAAATGTTTGACTTCCAGTTTTTTTTCTGAAGAGACAAGTTTCCTTCTAGTAATATAGTTTATTAGGAACTAATTAGATAATCTAATTTTACCTAAACAAGGTACTGCAGACTTGAATTATTGGACTAAGAAAATTTACTAAGAAGACAATCTTATTGTAGATAACCTAAATAAGTTTCTTTACCTCTGGATAAAATACAATCAAATACTTGGACAGTCTAAGTCATATCATGATGCAATAATAATGAGTTGTGAGACTGAAATTCCCAAAAGGGATTGCCATGCATAAAAAGAGAATAGGTCCAAAAAATTCCATACTGGAAACTAGCCATTGTCTTACACATCAGTTCAGTTTTGTCTCATAAAAGAAACTGTTAGAATTTAAGAAACTCTTTTGTCCATTAATTTTTCCAATAAAACTTTATAAGTTATGAAGTTAATAACACATAACATTTCACTAGAAAGACTGTTACAGTAATAAAAATTCAAAAATACTCCTGATAAATGTCCAGGTTTATAAATGTTAAGCTTACCACTCATGTTATGGTTTAATGAAACACTTAAAACTTAGCATTAAACAAAGACCTTCTAAAGTCAATTTAAGTTCTTACCTGTGTAACTTTTATATCACATTTTGCAAGTTCTTTTTTTAAGTACGAAATTTGTAATATATTTTTATTAACTTGATTTTGTTTACATTATCTTGCTGTGATATTTCTAACTATGTTCCAGCTTATTGTTACTTAAGCCACAATGTTCTGTTAAATGTTACTTAAGTGACAACATTGCTGTTAAATGCTACTTTAGCCACAATGTTCCTGTTAACTGTCACTTAAACTACAATATTCCTGTTAATTTTTACTTAAGTCACAGTGTTCCTGTTGGCTGTTACCTAAGCCACAATATTCTAAAAGAAGATTATCTGCAAGTATTTGCAAAACAAAACGAAAAAACCAGGTACAAATAGATTTACAAGAAGAACTACTGACATAATAATGTCTGAATTCTGTCTATTCATTAAAAACAAGCATTATGGAGGAAGCACTGAAATGGACAAACAAGGAAAATAAGTTCTTTAGAAATAAAAGTTGAATTATCTGGATTCTAATGAACTGCAATGTTTCTTTGATATGATGGTACAAAATGTTTTTGTAACTAAAAACAATGGATTTGGTTTTGTTCGTTTTGAATTTCATGCAAAGCTACATGAGGACTATCTGCTCTAGCCATCCCTAGTTTAGCAGTGACAGACTAGAGGGAAAGTAGCTAGTCAACAGCACCCACTGCCTACTCTTGGGCTACTCTTTTACCAACAATTAGTGAGTTTGACAATCACAATATAACACCCTCACAGCTGAAATGGCGAGAAAGTATATTCAATGATAGGGATTTGAGCCTGCAAACTACAGATTGCGATTCATGCACCCTAACCATCAGACCAAAAACAAAAGAATCAAACAGTTTAGGAATTGGGATAGAGGTAGAACAATGTGTTGACAAGTAATGCCACAAAATTGATGTAATCATATTTCAAAATCCTTTCAACTTGATAAGTCTGAATAACAAAGAAAATGCCAAACAAAGGAAAAAATTGATCCTATAAAACTTTTGTTTCAGTGAATGGGTATAGACTCTTCTGTAGTATTATGTACCATCAGAAGTCACAACCATTATGAGAAACTAGTCACCTTCTGTGGCAGATAATATATTCCAAATAAACCTAGAAAATATGTCATCAAAATCTGGGCTTGTTATGATAGTGTCACATCTTATGTATAAATTTGATAAGTATACACAAGAGATAAAGGACAACCAAAAGAACAAAACCAAGAGCACAAAGAGTTGTACAGGACATGATCCAAAGGTCAGAAAACAATAGATCAGTTTAAATTGTGATCATTTCTTTCAAGTTTGAATTTGGTTGATAACTTACTGGAGATGGTCACCTGCCTGCTGTTTATCAAATATTACTTGTCTGAATGTGAAGTAACAACTGCAGCATATTTCATACACCAGCTGCAGAATTACTAGAATGCCCACAATAACATGGGGAGTGATTAAGATACACATTAGTTGACATTTCAGAATATGCACATTTACATTGAAGATATAGCATAGGGAGAGAAAGAACACAACAGAATAGTGTTTATATTTTACACAGTTGCAAGTTGAATAAATTATGACTTTTATAGAAAGAAGTGCTGAGTGATAGTATCTATTTACTGTTTTTATTCTATCAAACATTTCTAGTGCATAGAATTCTTTACTTTTGTTTTAATACTGGTAGGTGTACATACCCTTAGTGTGGTGAACAGTTATTAACATTACAAGATTTGAAAGGGAAATCAGACATGGTATTACTAAGAAAAAAATTCAAATTTGCTGGGTTTTTTCTACTAAATTTATTAGAGATTTTGTTGTTTTTTTGGTAAAGTTAAGACACTGGATCAGTGAAATTGAGATTCTCAAATAAAAATATAGGTAAAAATCATGTTTTCCTTTTTAGTTTTAAGGGAAAAAAAAATCCAAGATAACTTTTAGCATTTTACTAAACAATAAATTAAATTAATAAATCACTAAGTAAAGGTTTTCTCAGCAATCACCAAATATAACAAGCACAAATTGTATTTATGAAAAACACCTATGCCCTCACTTATGTTATATTGCATATTTAAGTCCCCTTAATTTGACAATGTAATACATTTTCACAAGATTGAGTGGATTTTATATGTACCAGGGAAATCTTGACCTTTGGGTCTAATCAGTTCTAGAGCTTTGCATGTAGTACCTGTTGTATAAGTTTGTTCAATATCCATTCATCCTATATTGAGATAGATTTTCTATGTAACAGTGATTTTTTGAGCTTGACCTTTAGCCTATGACCTTCAAGAATTAATCAACTCTAGAACTTTATATGCAGTACCTGTTTAATAAGTTTGGTCAAAATCCATTTATCTGATCTTGAGATATCCTTTCAACAAATTGAGACAAATGGACAAATTAGCAGGGGCAAAACTCCCACTCAGTGATCCATTGCATGTAGCATAATAAACTCAGCAAAGTTATTAAATTTTTTCAGTGTTTTTAATTGGAATTTTAATGTTTTTAATTTTTCAATTAGTTGTAACTTGTTAAGTCATGATATTCTTTAGGGAACAACTACAGCACATACTTATTTCCATAGAACAAGTATATTTCCTTTTTCATATCTATTATTTATCTAGTATTTAATATAAGTATGATTTATAAGATTCAAATAAAACAATCAAATACAGCAAAAAATTACAACTCATTTTACATAGTTTTGGCTTTAACAGATAGTTCATGCCTGCCAACTTTGACCTGAAGAAGACCGCAGTAGAGAAGTCAAAATGTCATCTCACTTTAAAAATGAGTAGATGAAGTCCATTAAAGCTGAAGGTCTACTTTGTCTAAAATACCTTGAAATAACATATTTGTTTTACTATAAGGTTCCAATAAGAGTTTAAAATAAACTAAATTGTCTTTTAGTAGAACATTAAAAGAACATACCTCTTCCAATTCAGGTTGAAGTAGTGCAGAACTCTTTTTATCCAAACTGATTTTAGTTGACTGGCTTTTCACTTTACTGTAAGAACTTCCTTTTTCAATTTTGTCATCCAATTTATCCATAATTCTTTCCTTCTTTTGAGTGTTTATGTCTTCTGCAGAAAAGTTTACATTAACTGAGGTTTCTTTTTGAGAAACTTTATCAGTTACTGCCAAGCCAGAAGGCTTTTCTTTAGTTGTAAATTCAACTTTAGGTTTTTCACTTCTGTCACCTAATTTATCATTTACTTTTTCTTTTGTTTTCTTCTTTCTATCCTCTGCTGAAGGCTTTACATCAGCTGAGGCTTCTTTTTGAGAAGTTTTATCAGTTACTGCCAAGCCAGAAGGCTTTTCTTTAGTTGTAAATTCACCTTTAGGTTTTTCACTTCTGTCATCCAATTTATCATTTACATTTTCTTTCTTTTGCATATTTCTATCATTTGCTGAAGGTTTCATGGGACCTGAGGTCTCTTGCTGAGAAGCTTTATCAGATACTGACAAGCCAGAAGGCTTTTCTTTAGTTATTGATTCATCTTTAGAATTTTCATTTCCATCATAAGATCTATCATTTACTCTTCCCTTTTTTTCTGTCTTTCTGTCATCTCCTGAAGGTTTCACATCACCTGAGGTCTCTTGCTGAGCAACTTTATCAACTACTGCCAAGCCAGAAGGCTTTTTATTAGTTCTCAATTCATCTTTAGGTTTTTCATTTTTGTCATAAGATTTACCTTTTACTTTGCTCTTGTTTTGAATCTTTCTATCATGTTCATCAGAGGGTCTGACACAATGTGCATCATTAATTAATGGTTTATCTAAAGTTTCTTCACTTTTTTCTTTTACTTCAGGCTTCTCTTTCTCATCAAGTTCACTAAACAGTTTAACAAATTGTCTTTCCTCAGTTAATGGCTTATCTAAACTTTCTTTAGTTTTCTCAATTTTATCAGGTTCACCAGATAACTTAATATAATTTGCCTCCTCAAACAGATTTTTATCTAAAGATTCTTCACTTTTCTTCTTTATTTCAGTATCCTTTGCTTTCTCAAAAGGTTCAGTAGATGTTTTAACAGAGTATGAATCCTCAGTCTTTAGATTTCCCAATGATTTTTCATTTTTTTCTTTTATTTTAACTTTTTTCTCTTTCTGCTCAGTCTTGCCAGGTGATTTGTCAAAATTTATAACACCACTAAGTGGCTTATCTAAGGTTTCTTCAACTTTTTCCTCTATTTCATCATTTTTCTCTTTCTCACGAAACTCACAAGACTGTTTAACAGAATTTTCATCCTTTTCATTTCTCCTCCTTATTTGTGGTTTCTTCTCTTGCTTTTTAACAGGTTCAGAACACTGTTTAATAAACTGTCTATTTTCATTTGCTGACTTCTCCAAAGAGTCTTCACTTTTCTCCTTTATTTGAGGCTTCTTCTCTTTCTTATTAGGTTTGTCAGATAATTTACTGTAACTTACCTCCTCAGTAATTGATTTATATAAAGTTTCTTCATTTTTCTCCTTTATTTTGGCCTCTACCTCTTTCTTATCACATTCATTAGGTGGCTTAACATGTTGTACATCCTGATTCAATAGGTTTATCAATAATTCTTTATTTTCATTATTGATTTCAAGTTTTTTCTCTTCAAGTTTGTCAGATGGTTTGAAAGAATATGTATCAGCAATGAGTGGTTTGTCTAATGTTTCCTTTAATTCAGGTTTTTCCTCTTTGTCATCAAGCTTATCAGGTATTTTTAGAAAATGTGCATCATCCTCATCTAATGATCTTTCCAAAGATTCTTCACTTTCCCTCTTTATTTCAGCTGCTTCCTCTTTTCCCTCAGGGTTACTAGCTGCTTTTACAAAATGTACATCCTCAACTGAAGTTTTATGATCATAGGTTTCACCTTTCACTTTTATTTCATAACTCTTTCCATTATCTTCATGTTTATCAAAGGGTTTGACATTGTGTGCCCCATTATTAGCAATAAATGAGGTATCTAAACTTTCTTCACATTTCTCCTTTATCTCATCCTCTTTCTCATCAAAATGCACATCCTCATTCAATGATTCATTCATAGATTCTTCACTTTCATTCTTCATTGCTGACTTCATCTCAATCTTATCATGTTCTACAGAAAGTATATCCCCACTAAATGGTTTATCTAAAGTTTCTTCACATTCCTCTTTTATTTCAGCCTTTTTCTCCTCCTCACTATATTCAGTACATGGATTAATAGATTTTGTAACCCGAGTTATTAACCTTCCCAGTGATTCTTCAAGTTTCTCTTTTATTTCAGGTTTGTTTTCTTTATCTTCAGGCTTGGCAGATGGTTTCACAAAATGTGAATCACCAGTGGGTGGTTTATCTAAAGTTTCTTCAGACTTTTTCTCTGTATCATCCTTTTTATCTTTTAAGTCAATCTCACAATATTGTTTAACAGAGAGTTCATCTTCATCCAATGATTTATCCAAAAATTCTTCAATTTTCTTCTTTATTTCAGGTTT